AATAAATGGGAAAAAAAAATTACTCATTAAAAAAAAAGTAAAATAAAATGAAATGGAAATAAAACTGTCCTCACAAAAAAAAAAAAAAATCCACAAAATAATGACTAGAGCCAATCAATTCGTTCAGCAAAGTTGCAGGACACAAGAACAATGCACAAAAATCAGTTGTATTTCTCTACATTCACAATGAACAATCAAAAAATGATATTAAGAAAAAAATCCATTACAATAGCATGAAAACTAATACCTAGAAACAAATTTATCAATTGAGGGCCTAGAAATAAGCTTACATATCATTAATCATTGATTTTCAACAAGGCTGCTAAGGCTGTATGATGGGAAAGTACAGTCTCTTCAGGTAATGGTGCTGGGACGACTGGATAGCCACATGGACAAGAGTGAAATTGGGCTCTTACTTCACACTAAATTCACTGAATATGAATCAAAGACACAAATGTAAGAGCTACAACTATAAAACTCATAAAATAAAACAAAGGAATAAATCTTCATGAACTTGAGTTTGGCAACAGATTATGACACATGACACCAAAAACACAAGTATCAAAAGAAAAAAATAGATAAGTTGAACTTTATCAAAATTAAACACCTTACCTCCTCAAAGAACATTATCAAGAAAGGGAAAATACAATATATAAAATCATAAAATATTTGCAAATAAAATATCTGATAAGGGTGTAGTATTCCAAATATATGAAGAACTTTTATAACTCAACAGCAAAAAAGCAAACAACCCAGTTTTAAAATGAGTAAAGTATTTGAAAAGGTAGTTCTCCAATAATAACATAAAAAGCTGATCAACATTATTGGTCATCAGTGACATGCAAATCACAACCACAATGAGACAGCACTTCAAACCCACTAGGATGACTATAATCTAAAAAATAAAGCAGAAAATAACAAGTGCTGGTGAGGATGTGGAGAAATTGCAACCCTCATATATTGCTCATGGAAAAGGAAAATTGGGCAGCCACATTGGGCAAGAGTTTGAAACTTCCTCAAAAAGTTAAACATGGGATTACTTTATGGCCTAGGCATTCCAGTCAGTCATATATCTTAAAGGAATTAAAAGCATATGTCTACACAAAAACTTTTACATGATTAATCATAGCAGCATTATTTATAATTGCCAAAAATGTAGATAAAACCCAAATGCCCATCAACTGAAGAATGGATAAATAACATGTGATATATCCATGCAATGGAATATTATTTACCAATGAGAAGGGTGAAGTACTGATACATGCTACAGCATGAATGAACCTTGAAGACTTTATGCTAAGTAGAAGAAAACAGGAAACAAAGGTTATGTATTGTATGCTTCAATTTATATAAAATATTCGTAATAGGTGAATCCTTAGAGACAGAAAGTAGATTAGTGTTTTTTAGGAGTTAAGGGATAGGGGAATAAAAGTGACTGCTTAATGAGTCCAGAGTTTTCTTTTAGGGTGATTGAAATTTTCTGGAATTAGGTAATGGTGACAGTCATACAAACATATGAACCACCTAATTGTATACTTTAAATGTTGATTTTTTTAAAGAATGTGAGGTACATCTCAATGCAAAAAGAAGATATCAGTAACAGGTCAATAGAATTTCTTTAGGCTGAGAAGGAGGAGTAATACTGCAGATAGAGGAAACAGCATGCTATGTTTTAGATGTGGAGAGACATAAGATAAGGCTGCATAGGTAGGCTGAAAACAGAGTAAAAGAGTTTCGGCTTTGTTTTTTGGTTGGAAGGATCCATGGGGTGTAACAGAAGGTTACACACCTTTTGAGAAAGGTTTACTTCCTTGAACAGAGGTGAAAATTGTTCAGTCTGTTTTTTGGGGAAATAATTCTGACAACAGTGTGGTAGGATTTTTGAAGGTGAGGGAGTAGCATATTTTGCCCATTCATTAATAAATACAGCATTCATCTGCTGTCTAGTGTCTTCTTGTGCCAAATACTTTGGTGGACTCTGGAGAACAGCCATGAAATAGACAGGTAGAATTCTGCACTCTTGAATTTTATAATCTAGTGACATAAAGTATGTACTCAATAAATATTGAATAAGTTGATGATTTCATAAGAATGTATTAACATGGAGAGAGCATTTAGAAGATGATTGAAATTGTTTTTTAAAAAAGAATATGAGACCATGAGTGTATAGGAAGAGAAAGGAAGAGCCTAATAAGGGATCTGATTCAGTAGGTGAATTCCCAGTACTTGGTGATCTTGATGATTACTTGACCGTGTGAAGTAAAGGAGAAGGAGGAGTCAATGATATTGCTGTGTTTTCTAACAGGTTTGAGGAACAGGTTTGGCGAGTAAAAGATACGTTCGGTTTTGAACAGGCTGCGATTAGAAATGAAGCTTTCATGAAGGTAACTAGACACTGGGATTTAGCAGTCAGAAGAAAAATTACAGATAATATTATGGTTTGAGAGTCACCAGCCTGCAGGTGATATTTGAAGTTATAGAAGTAAATAAAATTTCCTGATAATATAGAAATACATGCAGAGGTGAATAAGAATTGAGTCTTTGAGAACATTTACAATTAAGGAGTGAATGAAGAAAGAGCCAGCAAAGTTGTCTAAGAAGGATCTTTCAGAAAGGTCTTAGGAGAACCAAGATAAATTGATGTCATTGATAGCAGTAATTGGAATAATTTTGAAGAAGAAGAAATGGCCAACAGGATCCACTACTACAGAGATGTTGAGGAGGAAAAGTATGAATGGAGAGGTCTTGAGATTTGGTGATATGGAGGTTAATGATGACCCCAGATTACAAAGTTATTTTGTGGTGAATGAATTCAGATGTTCAGCTGCTAGAAGCTACCTTCTTGAGAAGGTTGGTAGTGACCGTAGGAGAGATGGGATGGCAGATGGGATAAAGATTTTTTTAAAATTATATATATGTATATATATATACATATATATGTATGTATTAGGCTTGCATACTGACATATATACATATATTATACATGCATATATTTGGCTTAGGTAGAGGATAAAGGGCATTGCAGGGCATTGGAGTAGTTGATGTTAAGAGTTCAAGAGAAGGGGCTTGCTGTGGAGAGGAGCAAAGCATACCTTACTCTGAGCCAAGAGGAAATGGATAGGGAAATATCAAGGCAGAGAGGAGGGTATTTGATAAAATTCACATCTGAAGAGGGCCTGGATCTTCTTACAGAAGAAGGAAGTTACTTTATCTTTTAGGAGCAGGGCTGGGAGCCTGAAATAAGGTGTAAATGTTCTGAAAAACTGCTACAAGGAATGAGACAAAGATGAGCAAATAGATTGACACACAGTATGGGGTCAGGCAGTGGATGTCAAAGAGCATAAAATTAAAGTGAAGTCAGTTCATATCTGTGTTTTGTTTTGTTTGTCAGCAAAGCTCAGCAGTCTAAGAACATGGGCAAAGGCAGGGCCTCCAGAACCATTCTAGAAATAAAGAACAGTGCAGAGTGAGGTGGAAGGGCAAAGGGCTGAGAGTTCTGCAGGGCAGAGGTGAAAAGAGATCCGACTCATGGGACTAGGTTAGGGTAAACAGGGAGGCAGGTAGAAGTAGCAAGGAACGCTTCCCTTGGCTCACAGAGCTGGGAGGAGTGGAAGGCTGAGAATAACTTCCCTGAGCCTCAGTTTTCTTACCTATCAGTAGGGGGCAATAACGAGCACTGCTTAATAGCACATTGACTGTGAGAGGGAATAGACAGGCTGTTTTACTGTGAGCAAGTTCTTGCCCAGATGGTCTGAGAAGAAGCAACTCACAGAAAGGCAAGAATGTTCAGTTAGTCTCTATAAAGAATACATTCTTGGGCTTTCTGGTCATTCCTTGCCCTCTCTGCTTGACCAGGCTATTGGCTATTAGAGAACTATGACACTGTTTATATAAGGTTTCAGGGTGGACCACTCTTGTTTCTCCCAAAACTAACAAGCCAGGATCTACAGCACACACATCCTCACTACAGTTTAACTTTGGGAAACAAATCCCTCCAGGCAAACACAGGTGTTTCAAACAAATGTCAGTTTCCTAGGCCAAATGGTGATAAGCCATTTGGGCTAGGTTTATGCACTCTCCTTATACAGATCTATCCTCAGAGGACAATAATTTTCAGATGGTTCTGAGGGCAATTCTCTAAAATCAGTTAGTTTCCAACATGTTTTGGGCAATGGTAGCCTTGTTGGTGTGTCTTTCTTTCCAAGGAGATCTCTCAAAAGGTAAGAAAATTCATCTGGACATATCATTGTTGGACTCTTCATTTAAAACTCAGCCTACGATCATAGTTTGTAGTGCTCTCAGGACAGTGCTGTAAGAAATAGTCAAGTCTTGATTAACCAGAGCCCATCTTCAAGGATACTTCAACCAAAACTGCTATCTGTCTTTACAATGAAGTGGGGAAGGGAAGTTAAAAGGAAGCGTGTAAATATATTAGATCAAGCCTAATCAAACAAGCAGAACAATAACAAACAAACAGAACACATAAACAAACAAAAAACAACAGCTTTCAAAGGATGTCCAGGATCTGGTATAGATTCAACCATGAGAAACAATCAGACATAGTAAAAAGAGCATGAAATCTGACTGCAAATCCGGGTTTATACTTCTTTGCTGTGAGACCATGGGCAAGTATATTCCCCTTTCTGATTCTGTGCCCTCTTCTATAAAATAAAAGTAATGATAACTATCTCATGGGACAGTCATGGGGATTTCATTTAAAAATGTGTGTCAAGTTCTTGTACTTTGTGTCTGGCAAATACAATGTACTAGTAAATCTCACTCTTTCTTTTATCATCTTCATCTACTTAACCTATGACATGACAGGCAATGTTTCTATGTCTGCTGTCCCCAGTCCCAAATTTTTTTCTTTGTGATTGTACAATCATTGCCTACTTGAGACCCTACCCCCCTAACTCTTCTTTTGCATAAGGGCACATTTTGAGGTATCTTTGGTTCAAGCTGGTCTGTTAAGATGCTCACCAGGAGAGAGGACTGCTCACCTTTGACCACAAACTTCACAATGTCGCTGTGCTGCTCAGAGCCAACCTTGCCCTTGGCAGTACAGAAATAGGAGCCAGAGTCGGTTACCAATGCAGGCTTGAAGAGTAAGGTACTTAAGTTTCCTACTTTGATAGGCTCCTGGTTATTAGTCTGTTCCTTATACCAAATATAACTGATGGGAGGAGAACCCCGAGCCTGGCATTGAAGGCTAATCCTCATTCCCTGGGGCACCATGAAGCCATAACCGCTGCCAGTTGTCACTGTGGGCTTGGAGACAGAGACTGCAAAGAAAAGACAAGACAGGAAACTGGGCAGTCATAAGGATATTGGACCACAAGGCCAAATCATTCTTGTAGGGCATAAGGGCATGCATATATCTGTAACTGGAACTAAAGGGGGCTCCACTTTAGAGGAAATAGGAGGGAAAGTGCAATACACATAAAATGACTTCCTTTGAAGGTAGATACGTTTTGGTATTACCTGGGGTTTTGGGATATTTGGAGGTAAAAATCAACTGGCCTTTAAAAATAATGTAGATTTTTTTAGGGCTCAAGTAGAGACTTTGATTATCTGCAGTTTTGGATTATCAGGGCTGGACCTTTGTAAAATTGTCCAGCCAGCAAACTTATCCTGGCTAACCTCTTCCTCCCTTTCCCCAGAGTTTCTCTATCAGCATCTATCTACAAATTAATTATACTCATTTTTGAGTTATAAAGCCCAGAGCCCAAGGAGAGTAACTAGGCTATGAATGCCGGCATTTCTGGGACAATTGAAGGGATAGAGATTTATTTACTGGTCAGGAAACCTTCCCAGCACTTCTTAAATTTGAAATACTGACCCTAAGAATCCTCTGCCTATCCACTTCGTCTGATAAGCACATACACCTGAAGAGAGCCTATGTATAGATAAACAAAGGCCTCTGGGTTTTTCGAGAGTTTCTAGAATAACATCTTCTATTGATTCATTGATTATCAGTGCTTTCCTACCCCACAGTGACTCACGTTTCTGGACACGGAGCTCAGTAATCTTATCTCTCACCACTTGGTTGCCATCAGGGGTCTGCCAGGTGACTTCACACGTGTAGTGACTCCGGTCATCCATCTCCAGGGTACTCAGTTGGAGGGATACATCTCCCGGAACCTTGTGGCTCACATGTAGGCGGCCCTGGTACTTTGCCTGCTGGATATGGTCTCCAGAAGAGTCACGTAGGAAGATGGTGACAGGGTGTGAGCCACGATGTACCAGCCACTTCACCAAGACTTGAGTGTAGCCTTGGAGAGGGCCATAGGTGCAAGGAATAGTCACATCCCCTTTCCAAGGTCCTGTTATGTTCTCTGGCACTTCCAGGATGGGACGGCCTGAAGAGGGAGAAAAGAGAAAAGAAGCAAATATACATGGCATACCTACCTGGCAACTAGAGTGGCAGTGGAAGACCTCAAATGTTTTTGAGAAACACCACTCAACGTTTTTTCTATCACACTCTTGTGTACCTGTGCCTTTTTACTCTTTGACAGCCTTCTCATCATTCAGAACCAGTCTTCAGGATAAAAGCCCTTAACATTGTTCAGATCTTGTGAGTTTCGAGTCCTTTTTATGTTACTGTCTTGCTATGGAGGTGATCCCAGGTAAGTCATCTTCCTACCATGGAAGATCAATTTACTTCATATATAATATGGAGAGTTTGAATGGTATGCACTCTAGACATTCTATCAACTCTGTCATTCTGCAAATCCATGAAAAAATTTCTTTTGACATTTTCCAAAAGAGATATGGAAGCAAAAATACTAAGCAATTGGGTCTGGACTATTTTATTTTGTGTAAATATGCACCTGGAGAAACATGGAGGCTTTGGGGTTCAGCAACAAAGGGCTCTTTCCCCTGTTATCTTCTCTTGTTCCCTTACAAATCCTCAGTGACTAGGGTCCCAACCCTAAGATATTCTCTGGAAGACAGGCAAAAGGCAATACTGAGGTGGAACCCGGTGTGAGGAAGAAGTCTGGATATACATTCCTGTTTAACAAAATCATTAGTTATTGTTAAGTTTGAGATATGCGGTTTGTAAGCCTGAATTTCTAATTTCTTTTTTATTTGTTTATTTTCCTTTTGGTTTGTCTTAGCTCTTAGCAAGGATACACAGGAAAATTTCATTTTGAGGGGGAAATGATTTCATCCATTCTTGGTCTGGAGAGGAAAAGGGTCTGAGTGAAATCCTGAAGCTGACTGTAGTGGAGATGATGATAGAAGCAATGGGAGATTGCTTCTTGCCATGCTTGAGAGGGAAACCCTTAGAGGTGGGGGTGGGGCAAGGAGGTGGGGACGTTGAAACGGTCATTGCCTCCCATCAGAATTTTCTATTCATAAGCTCTTATTCTGAAAGATTTTTGTGTTATTTAACTGGGACCAGGAGTGTGGGTGGGTATATTTAGGCAATATATTCGTGTCTCTCCTAAGAGAGGTGGTTTCAAAGATCTGAAGTATTACTGAATAAAAGTCTTTTATTGAGTCTAGAATTCCCAGTATTCAGTCAAGCAGACGGAAGATGACATGTTTTGGATAGGTTGAGTGTATGCTTTCTAACTCCTAGAAGGTGCTGTCCAGCATCAGAACTTCTGTTAATAGAGACACTAAAGTCAAGCCTCTAGCCTCTGCCCTCACCAGGGACTCTTAGAACATCAATAGCATATTTTAGCCAAGAAAAAGCCCTTGAGTAGAAAGGAATAAATAAACTTAAGTTCGTGTTGCTAGATCCACTACACACTCCCTGGAGAGTTTCAAGTTTGGCAGAGAGCAGAATTCAGATGTACGAATGGGAATACAAGAGGGGCAGATTTTGGTTTGCCCTATTTTCCTAATTCTATTTATTTTTATGTTACTCTTTTTTGCTTTCCATATCACAGAAGGGTTGGTTTGCCTTAAAATGCACTTTATGATTAATCAGAGCTGTCTATGGATGGGTTAAGCTGACTGGGGAAGTTCTAGGCTTTGTTTGGGTTTTAGCATTGCTCTTTAAGGTCCCTCCTAATCTTGGGTGGTCCAGTGCTAATAGACTATAATGGAAATAGAAGTTAAATAATTATATATTCCAGCTGGTGTTGAATTTTCACCAGGTAGTGGCTTTCACTGTGCTATAGATAATTCCTGCCTCCATGTGATTGCAGATACAGCTTTTCATTATCATGGACACACATGCTCATACATATTTTTGGTCACATGCAAGCACAAACATACCATTTTTAAACCCCATGAAAACTATCTGAGTCTCTTGGTTTAATAGGTTATTTCCCATTAATCTTTCCCTGGACCTTCCCAATGTCCCTCCTCTTCTCTGAAAAGCATTCTCATATTCCCCTCTCGGGCAATAAAGCAGCATTCTGCTTTGAGGATATCTGGAACAGTTGAAAATGCCTTTGTCTTTGTGTATGCGTGTCTTCCTTCTGACCTTTGGAGAACTGCAAGGCCTGGCTTGTATTCCCCTCTCTGGGAATTTGCTGGAAATTGTCACAAAGCTCAGTCTGGTCTGTCAAGAACATTGCTAGCTAGTCTCAACTTCTCAATTTTCAACATCACTTCTGGAAGTAGGTCAGGCTTGACTCCTCCATCAGAACAGGACAGAGTTGGTAACTAGAGTTCCCAAAATGGCGTTTTTCCTCCTTTCACTTTTTTCTTCCTCCTTCTCTTCTTCCTCCTTTATTCCTTCCACCCATTCTTTCATTATGCTTCTCTTCCTTTATTTTGTTCCTTCTCCTTTTTCTTGTTCTTCTATCCTCCTGCTTCATTAGTTGCATAAAGAGAGACTGGATTACAGGTACAGGACATCACAAGGAAAAGGACATTGTACTATTCCTTGTGTTCTCCAATCTCCAAAGTGAGTTTAACCACAATAGCACTGACTTATACTTTCTACCTTTCCTTGTGGTGCCCTCAGAATATAGTAGGAGCTCCTAATGAGAGCAGGGGGGTAGTGAAGGACTGCATGGTGTAGTAGGAATAACACTGATCTAAGCCCAAGGTCTGCCTTACCACTTATCTCTCTGTGTGACCTTGGGTAAATTACTAAACCTATCTGAATTTCAGGTCATTATCAGTAAAGTGGAAGTAATAATAAAGATTCCATGGCAGATAATTGTGAAAATTAAATAAGTTCACATGTGTGAAAGCACCTAGCATATAGCTGGCATGCAGTGGGTGCTGGATAAATGTTTCATGCCCTAAGTGCAACTTCTTGTATTTGTCTTAAATTATTCCTATGCTACAGCAGTCTTCAATATGTCGTCCCCTGGATAAACAGATTCATTAGGTTGGAACATTGTCAGCTTTAATATTGACCTGAATCAGAACTCATCACACGGTAAGGTAAGGAAACACTCTCCCCTGTCTGATATAATCTACTGAGTTATGGGCAGGTACTAGGTTGTCTGTGAATTGCAGGGCAGCTGCAGATGACATAGGACACTGTGCCTCCAATGACAGGACTGTCTTGGCAGCCAATGTGAAATGTTGGCCAAATTAAGCAATACTCATGATTTTCCTGGAAGATTGGGTAGGAAAAATTCATTTCAGGAAAGCCCCATCTCTTGGCAGAGCACTGTGCCCATTATGGATACCTCAAAACCACCATCTGGCAAGGCACTTGGTATAACAGGGACTGAGGTACCAAAGAGGATGAAATTTGTAGCCTTCTGGAATGACATAGATGTAAGATCTTTTATAAATCACTTAGTTACATTCCCTCATGGTACATATGGGTAAGCTGAGGCCCAGAGATAGGCAGATGCTTGCTCAAAGTCACATGGATAGCAAGGTCAAAGCTGGGCTTGGAGGCCTAGAATACAGGTTTTCAGATGCTATGCTGCTTTCTTATTTTCTTAATTTATTAAACCATCAGTCACAATTGAAACCAACAACTCCTTACCTGGGCCTACCTGATATGGCTTCTGGATGTTATCCTAGGGTTATATATTATCCCATGATTGTCTGAAAAAAGATGCTCCCATCTGCCAGCTGCTTTCTGGAAAAACCTTTCTCATAGTTCCCAAGCCTTGCTCTCCTCCCTCAGGAAATGATTGGGTTTCCTTCAAATATTGGCCTCTCTCAGGAGAAAGACCAGGGCTGGATATTGACTCAAGGAGCTTTGTGGAAGGAGAATCTGGCTTGACAAAGAGAGGACAGTACTGAGCCTACTTATAAAAGCAGATGTCTGAGGCCTGTGTAATGGTACTAAAAAAAAGAAGGGCTGAATTTACTATGTGTGTGCTCCTTTATAAGACCCATTCTAGGTCTCTTTCTAAATAACCTCCTCCCATCATCACAAAGAGGGTGACATTTTCCATGTGTCTATCCCCAACATGACTGGCTTCTCTCCCTTCCCCCGTTCCTGGGATGCTTCCTGGATAGAGGATTAGCTTATATAATAGATGTTTATAAAATGTTTCTGAAATGTTTAAAATGTTTATAAAATGTGAATATTAGAATTTTAAAAATTTTGATTATCTTGACATATTTCTTAGCCCCACAGGAAGAGGTTAGCAGCTGATTCTGGCCCTTACGGGCTTTTTAGCAGTGAAGCCTCAGTCCAACAGAGCGGTCCAGCTGCGAAATCCCTTTGACTCCAGCCAAGTCAACCTCCTCACTGTACAAATGGGCTAGGAACAATGAGGTCCAGGAAGAGGGAAGATATTATTTGCAGCTCAGGATATCCTGAGCCTCAGGTCTGTAGTGTAAGATCCTATGTACAAATGGAAGGCCTGCTTCCAGGTCTGGAAATCTCACAGGCTGGGGAAAGAACAAGACACATGAGTGTTCTCTCTCTCACACACACACACACATACACACACACACGCATACACACATACATAGGATTTAAATTTAACATTTCTAAAATCCTCCCTCAAGCCCCAGGCTTGAGCCCTAGCTCAAACCAACAGACTTGGAGAAGGTAGAGAGATACATTATAAAACCCACTAGAGAATGGAAGTATGGTAGTTACAGAAAGAAAAATATTTTTCAGGAGCATTAACTCTGCCAATAATGCTCTTTGGCTTGGGGGCAAATTTTTTTTCTCTTGGATAACTTAATCCAGAGCGTTTTCTAGCTCTGAGATTTTACAGTCTGATGGGTCACAGAGTCTCAGGATAGGGTAACCGAATCAGAGTCAGCCATGGAAAGCCGGATTCTTACTGACTTCACAAGTGACACCAAACTGACACCCATCCATCCTTTTTCTCTAGGGAGAGTAGGGAAGCAGCAAAAACCTCCTTTACCCTATATTGGATCTTACTTAGCTGTTACACAGGTTTAGCTTCCTGAAAATCCATCTCACTTCTCAGGAGTGTAAATGAGGATAGAGCTTCCCAAGCTCCAAGGCAATAATGCTACTATGGAATAGTCCATCCTCATTTGGGATTTGTGTCAAGCCCATAAACAGCCTAGACAAATTTAGCCATGCCTACAGGGAAGTGAGTTAGTCCAGGAGCGGGTAAGAAACCAAGTCCTATGAAGACCAGTTGAAAAAGCTGGGGCTTTTCAGCTTGAAGGAGAGAAGAATCAAGGGGACACAGTATTTGTCCTCAGGTCTTTGCAGGGCTGTCACAGGGCAAGCAAGCAGCTATGTTCTGCGTAGCTCCAAGAAGCAGAGCTGGGGCTTTTGGATGGAAGTCAGAGGGAACTGGATTTAGTTCAATACAAGTAAGAACTTTCTAACAGTTGGAGCTGCTGATAGACTAGATGGTCTGGGAAGGTAGTGAACAGTGATATCTTAGTAACTACTGAATGTTTCTGAGCATTTGTTCATGACAATGAAGGGTGGTATAGGTTACTTCTGTATTCCCATTCAACTCTTAAAAAACAATCCTTCTTTGGGGTCTGTATATTTCAACAGACAACAAAGCTTGAAAGCAGATGGGTTAAATCTAATGTTAGAATTTTAGATGAGACAGCAGATGGGGCAAAAATTCGAGTGTCATTGGGAGCCTTCTTGATGCCCCTGAGACACGAGCCCTAGAAAATCACGCCAGTGTTTTCCAAGAGAAAATCCTTTTTCAAATTCTGCCCAACCTTGCCTCCTGGCTTCTTCAGCAGCCTTCAACTACCTCCATCCCTTTTGCTGAAGGCTGAGAGAACCTGCAGAGTTTGGCTGAGAACACTCACCTGCCCAACAGGAACAGGCTTTCCTTAGTAGGTATTAAACACCACCCCCCGCCCCAGCCTTTGCCTAAGCCAGCAGTGGCAGCCAGGACCCCACGTTCTGCCTTACCATAAGTGTTCACTGTTAGGTGCCCAAGGAGTAGCAGGCCCAGTAAGATCCCCATCACAGCCAGAGCCACTTTTGTCCTTTCTTCCAGCCTCCTGCTGCCAAAGAGGCTCAAACTTCTGGTGGCCACCAGCGTCTGTGCCTGCTTACTGCCCTTCCTTCCTTATATCTCTCACTCAAACTCCTAGTCCCATCATACATTCCTCTTCCTTCCCTATTTCGGCATTGGTCATGTGGGGTGCCCCCCTTCCACCACCTCCCTGGGGTTGGAGGTTCCAGGGTGAGTGAAGCAATTCTTCCCCCCTGCTAGGGTATTGACTTTACTTTCCCTGGAGCCAGTGGAGCTCTCTGGTCTTTGATCTCCCAGGCTGTGTTTATTTTGGTTGGAGGGCAATCTATGGGATGAGTTTTCTCACTCCAGTATGGGGGCGCTTTTCTTTGTGGTGATCCCAGGGGGAAGAAATCAACTTAGCTGGCCTATGCAATTTTCATCAGTTGTAATATTAACCCTTGCCTATGCAACCTAGGCAAATGGACAGGGTGTCGGGTGTGGGGTGCCTTTGGGCTTAGGAGTACAAGAGCTTAGTGTATTCAAGGGCTTTCTACATATCAAAGCTTGAATAATTGGCAAGCCAATGGATAAAGTTGATGTGGGTGAATATGCCTCATCTCATATCGGGGAAACTCTTTGAATCACTTTCTCCAATGGCTCCACCTCTCTGGTGGCAAGGGATAATTCATTTTCATTAAATGTTCTTCATGCTTTTTCATAAGGAACTTATTATTTACTTATTTTAAGGGAAAGTTAAGCCTAGCTTCCAGTGCACCAACCCATTAGGGATATGCTCTAATGGGTTGAATTTTTCATTGACTTCCAATGGGTACAGGCTCTTGACCTACAAGAGAGTGATATTATGCCTCCTAGCAAAGCTCAACTGCCCCAGAAATTGCTCCTCTTCACAGGTCTGCAGAGTGACTATAATTTCATTAGCAGCCTAAATAGGTTTGTCGCTGTCTCTGTCTACTAAGCTTTGAAACTATAAGCACTTTCTTTTTTTTTTTTTTTTGAGACGGAGTTTTGCTCTTGTTACCCAGGTTGGAGTGCAATGGCGCGATCTCGGCTCACTGCAACCTCCGCCTCCTGGGTTCAGGCAATTCTCCTGCCTCAGCCTCCTGAGTAGCTGGGATTACAGGCACACGCTACCATGCCCAGCTGAATTTTTGTATTTGTAGTAGAGATGGGGTTTCACCATGTTGACCAGGATGGTCTCGATCTCTTGACCTCGTGTTCCACCCGCCTCGGCCTCCCAAAGTGCTGGGATTACAGGCTTGAGCCACCGCGCCCGGCACTATAAGCACTTTCAAAAGCACAAATACATCCAAAAAATTCATACCACACTGTGAGTAACATCTAAGCTTAGTTTACTTTTCGATTGGAGGGATAGGAAAGGCCTTGGTCAGGGGAGTGAGGAGTTTGTGCAGAGATGAGGAGTGGGAATATAAAGAAACATACTTGCCAAGGGATGGCTGCATACAGATGATTTGGAGCTGTCCATGGGCTAAGAAGACATTCCAGCATTTCAGGACCCATTATTACATGGAATTATATCAATTACCTCTTCCTCTATGGCCCAATTCCCCTTGGCTGGTTGTTCCTTGTTTTTTGAGTACTGTGCTCATTCCATCTTACTGGAACTTTTAGCCACATTTTCTGACTGAGTCCTCACTCAGGAAACTCTGAACTTCGAAGAACACTCCTTTGGTATTTTCAGCCAACACCCTATCATGATTACCACCGCCACCACCACACACACACATGCACACGCGTGCACACACACACACACACACACACACACACATTCCTTCCCTGCTAAAGAGCCCACTGGACTGTTATGAATTTCTGCCTGGCCTGGTGATTATGTATGTTTTGAGTTGCCTCATGCATTTTGTTAGGACCTCCTGGATCTGAAGATAGAATAATGTCCTTGGGAGCATGCACAATATTACTGCAAGGCTAGGAAAGACTTCCAGCTTTGTAGTAGGCTTAGTAGCCCTCTTGATTAGTAAAAGAATTGGTTGAGAAGTCAGAAACCTGGAGATAAGCCTGACTCTGTGTCTACTTCATTCGGAGACTTTGGACAAGTCATATGTCTCTGAACCCCAGCAACCCTATTTGTAACATGAACATGATTAGATTTGATGCTTACATCTTCTCAGATTTTTAAAAATTAAACTATACTATACATACAATAATAACTATATAATGATACTTGCTATTTTAAAATCTTTTACTCTTCCAGTCACTGAATTAAGCACATTGCATTATTTCCCTTGGTTCTTTCAACCCCTCAGGTGGGTATTATCGTACGGAGTCTTGTATCTCTCCCTACCACTCTATACTACCTTACACTACTTTTCTTTTTCTTTGTAGAGCCTACCTTTACTTGACATATTGTATATTTATTGTCTTAGTTTTTTGTTGTCTGTCTCTAGAATGTAAGCCTGCAATGTAAGACTCCTGAAGGCAGGAATTTTTGTATGTCATGATCACTGTTATATTTTCAGTGCCTAAAACGGTGCCTAGCATATAAGACACTTAATAAATACTTGTTGAATGCATGAATTGAATATATCGCCACTTTTACAAATGTGTCTAAGACCCAGAATAGTGAAATCACTTACTTGTATAGGGGGTGCCTAGACAAGATTCAAACTCCTATCTGTATGCCCCCAGAAATGATACTGTTAAGTAACATACTATTCTGCTTCATTCGTACCTTTAATGATCACTTCTACAATAGTTCCAGATTGTTTCTGGATGTTGTGAGGGAGAGAGAAGAAATGTTGGATGTGGTCCCTGTCTAAGTTAAATTTTAGTGTAAAGAAAAGACAAACACATATGAACACACTAATACAAGGTGAGTTATTAACTGACCTTTAAAACTTGTGGTTTGAGCAGTGTTTAATGAAGGCAATAGTAGTGTGGGAAGGCTTCCCAGGGAAAGTGATACTAAAACTGCCATTTGTAGAGCTCCTGCTCTGTGCCATGAACATTATCCCTAGGCCTTAACTCACAGGGAAGGCATTATTAATATCCTTTTCTTATTGACACAACTGAGGTCTGGACGTACCGTGGAACCTGCCCATGGTCACACAACTGATAAATGACAGAAGTGTGATTTACCATCCAAGTCTGTGTTTCAAAAAATTGTACCTTTGATCCTCTACGCACCAGGGCATGAGCCAGAAAAGATGAGATGATTGAAGAAGAGAGAGATGGATAGTTACTTTAATCCAGGGAGTCCCCCTTTTGCTTATTTTCAACCTCAATGCTTCCTGAGATTATAGTATGAATGTGGTAAGAGTTCACAGACTGTGTGTGAGCAGCATAGAAAATGACTCATACCCTTTCAGGCTTAGTATCCAGAGGTCACCGTGGCTCTGTATCTATTTCTACCCCCATAGCCCACCATTCTAGAAAAAGATTGAAAGGTCAGGTTGGAGAAATTTACCAACGTATAAACATTATCTGAGACTTTCCGGTGTGTATGTGCACCTTGGGCTTGCTGAGCTGGAGGAAAGCAGTGGTACAAAGAGGAAATCCACACAGGCCCTGCTCAAGGACACACACACACACAGATCTACAACTACTACAAATAAACATAAATGCACAGATACATATGGTCACATATTCATATATAGCTATACATATGAATAACATATCCTTAAGCATAAACATGAGTACACTGACACACAACACACAAAGTATACACACAGAAACATGTAAGCACGTGGGACACAGACACACAAAATATGCATTCAAACACACAAATACACAGAGCTTGCACATAGACATGAGAAGAACAAACAATGAAACACAGATGCATACACTCAAGCAGGACATAGGTAGATAACCATGCATATAAGCTTATCAACACTTACATAAAAACATAGATATAACAGACATATACAGAGAAAAATGCATATAAACATCAACCCAAAGATACGTAGAAAGAAAATCATGAGGGTTTCGAAGAAAACTAACAATAAAAGGCCTCACATATTAAGGGACAAAGGAATGGCAGAAACTCATTCGTGCAATGGGAGTTCAGAGGTGGTAGCAATCCCTACGGATTTCAGTGGTTTCGGAAGTCTTTCTAGAGGAGCTGGCGTGTGGGCTGGGATGTGAGATTTGTTTATCATTGAATAGGCAAAGAGGATGGGGAGAAAATTCCAGGTAAGTGGTAGAGAGAGAGCTAAAGTCCAGAGGCAATCAAAGGCAAGAATGATTCTGATGAACAGGGAGAGTCAGTTGGACTTCAGCTATTGGTGCATATTTACAAAGGCAGAAGAAGAAAAAGCTCAGCCAGATTATGGAGGGTTTTGAAAATAAGGCCAAGATGCAAAGACTTGATCTTAAAGACTTCTATGGGAGCCACAGAAGGTTCTATAGTGAAACAGGGGACTGATGCTGCTGAAAGCAGTTTCTTAGAACCAAATCTGTTTGTAGAATATCAATGAAATAGGATGAGAAAATTGGAAGCAGAAAAATGAGAGACTAATTTGGCTATCAGTTGTATAATGCAATGGAAAGATCATGGGAATGGGCATTAGGAGAACTAGGTTCATTCGCCTCTCTAGGTCACAGTGTTCCCGTCTATACTCTAAAGGTATCATACTTACCCACGGATTTTCAATCTATGTTCTGCGGATTCCTAGGAGTCCTGTAGCAGGGAAGAGGAAGGGAAAAGGGAGAAATTTAGGTGAACGGATTTCAACCAATGGTGTACTAGAGCCAACTTAAATTCTAAGAGCTGATTGTGTGAATTTATTTCTAACTCTGTGTTTAGTGACATTGTGTTGGTAGCACATAATAGGTATGGAATAAATGCATATTATGCACTTTTGATGTTTTTGACACTGTTCTAGGTCCTGGGGATATAGTAGTAAAGAAACAGACATGAAACAAATTTTAATGGAAAGAAATAATTTTAAAAACAACCGAAAAATATAAAAAGGGTCATCAATAATCATATAATTATATATTAGGTGGTTCTGCCACGATGTTTCAGTAACATAAACCCTGAATGTTGCTCTCACTGCCAACATTGTCTATATATTGTTTATTAATAATACATTGGGGAAACTGAAGACGAGAAATACTCATATGTGTATGCACAGGACTTGGGACAATAGAGGTGAGGGAATGAATTCGAGCTACATTCTCATCTATAAAAAGAATAACAATAGCAATATGAGCATGTTATTCA